GGCACCCCATATTGGCTCTCTTTTCTTCATCTACACTCTCTCCTTAGGTGATCTCATCTAGATTTCATTTACTCTGACTTCCAGATTCACACAGCTACATTCATATATGACAACTCCACCTGGGTATCTAAAAATCCTTTCAAACTTACATGTCCAAAACCAAAATCATAAATTTGTCCTCTTTCTACCCCCACTCTTTCCTATTTTTCTAATTTCATTAAATGGCACTTCCATCTACTAAATTACTCATGTCGCAAATCTAAGGATCATCCTGGATTCCTTCTTAACCTCACATCCCACATCCAAACCACCTGTGAAACCAGATGGTTTTATCTCCCAAAATACATTCCACATTTTTTATCATTCCCACTGCTACTGCCCTACTCCAAGCCACCATCTTTTTTCACTTGAACTTCTGCAATAGCCTCCTAAGTGATACCCTGCTTTCATCCTTGCTTCCACAGACGAAGCTACCTGACACAGAAATCAGATAGCATCGCTCTCCTGCTTAATACTCTTCAATGGCTTCTTACAACCATCAGATTCCTCAACCAGACCTGCAAACTCGTACAGATCTAGCCCTTCTGCCTACTTCTCCTTTCTTATCTCATGTAACTCATATACTTTTTCAGCCAAAGTGGCCTTCTTTGGTGCCTCCAACATGCCAGGCTTGTTGCCAACTCACAGACTTTGTACTTGAAGCACCCTTTACCTAAAATGCCCTTCTCAGAACTTTACAAAGGTGGCTCCTTCTCTTTGTCCTGTCCTCAGCACAAATGTCACCTTCTCAAAGATGGCTCTCCTGACATTTCTATTAAAATGAGCCCAGTCACTCTATCTTAATTACTGTTTTATTTTCTTCATAGACCTTGTTACTATTAGAAATAATCTTACATTTATCTTTCTCTTCCTACTAAATAGAAGACACATAAGAACAGAAACCTCGTCCACCTAGTTCACAATGGTAACACCACCATTCACTAATATTTTATGGAATGATTATTCTATAAAGCTATTCCAAATAGAACGTTAACAATTTCATTCTTTAAAATTTGTCTTTCTGGGGCGCCTGGGTGGCTCAGTCAGTTAAGCAACTGCCTTTGGCTCAGGTCAGGATCCTGGAGTCCCGGGATCGAGTCCCGCATCGGGCTCCCTGCTCAGCCGGGAGTCTGCGTCTCCCTCTGACCCTCCTCCCTCTCGTGCTCTCTGTCTCTCATTCTCTCTCGCAAATAAATAAAATCTTTAAAAAAATAAATAAAATAAAATTTGTCTTTCTGTTTTAAAGGAAATGTTGAATTTCCCCTCTTTTAAATAACTAAGACTTACTTGAACCTCTAAAATTCCTAAGGGAGAAAAGTTAGCAAATTAAAAAGGTCTGCTCAGATCCATTACCATAGTAAAGTTGGAACATTCTAACTCAGTTTATTTTAAATAACTGAGATGACCTAATAGGGCTTCAGACAAAAAAAAATTCACCTGTACTTACAACACTACTTTCTGTTTGACTAATATAAACTAGTCACAATATTACTAAATGAATAAATGAATATTATTTTTCTCTTAAAAGAAAAAAGTTACCTAAATTAACAGAACACTGAAGATTTATATTCCAAGTACAGTTCAGTAAATTTAAGCTAATTCTTTGTGATGCAGAATAAATCAACTAACAGTTGTTCATCTGTCTCCCCTATCTGTACAAGGGTAACTAGATAAAAGCAAAAAAGAAAAACTACAAGTCTTGCCCAATTTCAATTCCTAAGAATTGTTTATTTTCTAAAAATGGCCAGGAGTGCTACTGTGGCAATGCCAGAAAACTAGCAAATCTAACATGTCATTTTTCATCCAAAAATAAACTGCCTTCTAAAACAATCCCAAATAGTATAGGTCACATGTAACAGGTCAGAAAAAAGATGACCATAAACCCCTTCAGTACCAGAATGCCTCCTTTATATCCAGTTTCAAATGATTCAAAAGTAGGTCTAAGGAAGAAAGCTTACTATATATGAAATAGCATAATGATTATCTGATTTATACGACTTTAAGAAAGATAGATGAGGTTAGTAAAAATGCAGTTCATAACAGAAGACTCTATTTCAGTAGGGGGAAGCAGCATATGCAAAAGTAAAAGGTAAGAGATAAGTGAGGCATATCATCAAACTGTAAATAGTATACAATTGTGCTATCCAAACATGGTAGCTACTGAGCACCTGAAATGTAGCTAGTCAGAATTGAGATATGCAGTAAGTGTAAAATACACATGGGATTTTGAAAACTTAGTACATAAAAAAAGAACATAAACTATCTCCTTAATGATATTTTTAAATATTCATCATGTTAAAATATTATTTTGGATGTATTGGATTAAATAAGATATACTATTAAAATTAATTTCACCTGTTTGTATTTTCCTGTGACTAGTGAAAAAAAATGTGTTAAATTATGTATATGGTTCACATTATATTTCTTTTAGACAATGCTGCATTGGTGGGGGGGGGTCAGTGATAAAGTAGTAAATGAGCCTGGATCAAGTGGAAGAGACTATTACAAGAAGGATCTTTATATCATACAAAGAAGTTGGTTAGAAAAAAAGGATTTTCAGTAGGATTAAAATGATCAGATCTGACACTTAACAAAGATCCATCCCCAGCCCAAGTATTGGAGGGCCAATAAGGCTGAAGGCAGAAGACCAGGTGCTCTTGAAATCAGGTGGCAAGTGACGGTAACAGAGGGTAAGCAGAGATATAGAGTACAGAATTAAGAAATGTTTATCAAGTAAAACAAACTGGACTTGATGACAGATTATATGTGGACTGTGAGAAGAGAGAAGAATTCCAAGTTCTTCCAAATTCAGAGAATGAATTCCAAAGTTTTGGGTTTACAAAATTGGGTAAATATGGTACCATTCAATAGGGCAGATTTGGTGGGGAAAGATGATGGTTTCATATCAGACACACTCAGTTTAGTTAGGATGCCTGTGGGAAATCTATGTGGAAATATCAAAAATTAGCTACACAAATTTAGAGTTAATTCAAGAGTTCCAGGACAGAGATAAAAATTGATTGTGCATTAATAAAACATAGATGGTGGAAGCCAAGACAACCAGAAGCCTGAGAATGAACTCAGCCAAGAAAAGAACACAGAGTGAAGAGAAGGCAGAAGACTAAATTATGAGGAAACGCAATAATTATATGTTGAGCAGAGGAGGAGCAGGATTCCATAAAGAAGCAAAGAAGATCAATAATAACAGGCAGGAGACGAACCAGGTGAGACAGCAGAATCTTCTTTTTTTTGAAGGGGGGGCTGGGCAGAGGGAGAGAGAGAGAATCAAGCAGGCTCCACGCCCAGCCCAGAGCCGATGCAGGGCTCAATCTCCCCACCCGGAGATCATGACCTGAGCCGAAATCAATCAGAAGCTTAACCAACTAAGCCACCCAGGTGCCCCAAGAGTAGCATCTTCGAATGAACTTCTTCTGTGTCTTATGCTATTCCATGATTGCTTAACAGAAAAGATGTGACGCTGACAAAAAAAAGAAAAATCTCTTTTCCAAAGTCACCAACTACTTTTTGATATTTAAAATGATACTTTGTCAATTCAGAAAATCAAAACAGTTATTTCTTTTTGTGTGTCTGGATAAACATACAAGTCAACATGCAACAAAAGCCCAAAGTGAAATAGAATAGTAATATAAAATTCAAATGTGGAACTATAACTTGAAAAAATATGGATTAAAATAACATAATAATCTCCAGAACTGTACCCTTTTTTCAAAACTGATGTAGACCCCTCCTGCCAAATACATAAAAACCATTTAAATGATGACTTTTGATCCCAAAGATATATTTAATCCAAGTTCTTAAACTGAAGGTAAAGGACCAGCATAAACATGTTTGTGTCCAAGTGTACTTTCCTAGGGAGAAGGGCCAAAACATTCTTGACTTTCAGAGGAGGATCCAAAAAGCAAAACATTAAGAAAATCTCCAGTAATTGCAGCCCATCGAATTGCCCACACAAACCAAATTCCAAGAACAAATCCACTTTAACAGAAGCACCCAATTTTTTTCATTTGCCTAAGTACAGGTACGAACATCTCAATAAATTAATCCTCACAACAGTATCTACTATTCCCATCCCCAAATGGAAAAAATATATATGCCCCTAGTAATTTGTTACTAGCCAATGATTTGTTACAATTAGTAATAACTGTTACAGTTAGTAATTTGTCCAAGGTCACAAAGTGAATGAGAGGAGTCTAAATTAAGGTGAACCTAGCCCATGATCTTCACCACTGTGAAACACTGTATCCTTTGGTCCTGCCAACGTATAACACCAACCAGAGCACTCCCACTCATCTATGCCAAGAGGGCGCATTTTTTGCCAAACATCTTTCCTCTCATCCCATCCTTGAAGGACATGTAAAAATTTCACAGCCAGGGCAAATGGGCCTTTCCACTCTAACCACACTGTCTTCAACCTCCAATTTTTTTTATTATCCCAGAGATAACGAAAGTTTCACAGCCTTCTTCCCCTTCTTGGCTCTCTCTCTCCTTTCCCATCTTCAGTCTCCACAGGCCTCTAGGGTTTCCTAATAATTCCTAACCTCTTCTCTAGATCCTCCTGCAATGAGCTCCCTTCCTCCTCTTCCTGATTCCAAGAAATAACCAAACCTTCTACAACTCCGTCTCTTCCAAACTTCCCAATCCCCCACCTGTAGCTCAACCTCCCCTCCTCCCGGGCCTTTCCCAGCTGCCGTGCTCTTCACTTATTTTCCTAGGATTTTGTTCTCCTCGCGTCCTCACACCCTTCCTATCCCTAATCCTCTCATCCTCCCCGCTTTAACAACTCCGCTCGCATGCCTCCATCCACGAAGAGCCAGCCCCCACACTCCAGTCCCAGCCTCACTTCTCACCCCCAAGTCCCCAGTCTCCACGCCCACGCCAAAGCCCACCCCCAACCCGCCCCGGCCCCTCCTCAGATCCCACGCGGCGTCCCGCCTCCTTGCCTTCTCTTCGCGGACCAAACTCCCCGCCGAGCCTCGCGTCTAGCCGCCGAAGAGTGGGTGCCTGGTTGCTGCGAAGATTAAGGGGCGGGCGCCGAGGTTGCCTTGGTGCGGGAAGTTTGAACACACGGCCAGGGTAGGGGCGGGGACCGCAGCTCCCTGGCGGCGACGGCGGCGGCGACGCGGCGACCTCGGCACCAGGGTAACGGAGACGGAGGACCATACTGCAATGCGGCACGACTGCAACCAATGATGCCCCCCCCAATCTCCCATTGGCCTCCGGCACGAGACGCCCATTCCTATTGAGTTCAGTGGAAGCGGAAGGCGGGACAATGAGTACGGGAGAAGGCAGCCATTGGTTGACCGCTTCAGCAGCGGCGACCCAGAGTAGGGAAGTGGTTCGCGCCCAGGCTCAGCCCGGCGCGCCGGGGCCTTTTAGGCAGTGCTGGGCAAAGCGCGATCTCACGGCGTAGGGGGCTTTGGGTGGTGCGAGGAGCGTGTGGGCGGAGGGGAAAGGGGGCTGGTGTAAATTGTAGAAATTGGCAAATGCGTGATTGAAAACATTGAAAATTGTTTTGAATCCTTTTTGGAAATTAATTATAAAAGAAATAACTAGTTCTCGGTCCTGGCACCGAAATTGCTTATTTTCAGGAGGAGGTGGAGTTAGTGTACTAAAGGTTCTCTCCTCGAGGTCCTGGCCTTTGTAAATCACGAACGCGCCGTGAGTTTGGCTTGAAAGTGATTTTTTAGGTTTTGGAAAGCGTTAGAGGTGGAATGACACTTCAGACGTTTGCAGGATTTTTTTTTTTTTTTTTTTTAAGTAAACGTCTGTGGCGCATGTCAGTAATCTATTGAGAACTGCAGTATAGCATTTTCCCCTTTAAAAAAAAATTGATAGTGCATTAAACGGCATTAATTGTGGGAGGCAGGGAAAGTAAAAAGAAAATCCTCTCTTCGGTGAAGGTTATTTTAAGCCATTTTGAACCTTCTGATTATCAACGTGGCTTAATACCACACCCTCCCTTTTTTCGCCATTGGTAATTTCTTGAACACTGGGCTTTGCCCCCATTCTGCAGAGATCTAAATCTTGAAGGCAAATGCATTGTAATCAATCTTCTCACCATAAATTATGGTAATTCTGTTTCTTGCCTGACCTCATTTTCCCAACCAACTTTGCACTATTTCAAAGCTTTCATTTTATCCTGCCAATATATTTTACTTCAAGTTACAGACTAACCCACCTAAAAAACACTGTAATTAAATGCAATTTTCTGAATAGAAAGTAGAAGATAGGAGTCGTCTGTTAGTGAAAAATAAAGATGAGTAATACCTAAAGTGCACATAAATAACATTTCATCAGCGTAAATCTGCTAATACTCTTCATTAAAATAGCTCACTGGTTATTACTGACTCCGTTAGAGTTAATATTATGTAGTTTAATAAACGCATTAGTGGAGTACTTTTAAAGGAAATAGCTATAAAAGGTGAAGAAACATGTAAACGTCTCTCCCCGAGGAGTCAAATGCAGGTTGCTCAAGGACAGCTGAGAACGAAACTAACCTTTATTCTGCACTAATAATGTGCTAGGCAATATAATCTCATTCCATCTTCATTCCTGATTCTAGACAGGTACTGTTATTCATTGTTATACCTGAGGAAACAGATTCAGAGAGAAAGAATCTACCAGGAGATACTAAAATATTAAGTGGGTAGGGGCAAGAATCAAGCCTAGGTCAGCTAAATTCCAGGCTTCAAATTGAATGCCTTTAATGTGTTTCACCTACAGGTTAATAGAGTTGCTAGAAAGCAAGAAAGTATTTAAAAGGTTAGGAGTCTCCAAAAAATGGTCTAATTGTATGTAACACATTTTCAAGATGTTTACAATGTGCAGTTTTATTCACTCTATCATATCTGGAGTAACAGTGACTATCAATTTATTTGAACTTGAATAAAGAAACAAAGGATTTATAAATCTCCAGGAGTAAAAACCAGCTTATTGAACTAATTTTTTTTAAAAGTTATCCCAAAACATGAGATAATTTCTAAATTTTTTATTCTGCTTTACAAAAAAAAGAAAACCAACAAAAGTATATTTTTATATTATGTCACTTGAAATGATATTTAACAGGAATCAGGCTTCTTTTTTTTTTTTAAAGATTTTGTGTATTTATTTGACAGAGAGAGAGAGAGAACACAAGCAGGGGGAGTGGGAGAGGGAGAAGCAGGCTTCCCGCCAAGCAGGGAGCCCGATGCGGGACTCGATCCCAGGACTCTGGAACCATGACCCAAGCTGAAGGCAGACGCTTGCCCTAGGCTTCTTACTGTTTTTAAAGATTATATTTATGAGGGCACCTGGGTGGCTTAGTTGGTTAAGCGACTGCCTTCAGCTCAGGGCATGATCCTGGAGTCCCAGGATCGAGTCAGAGGGCTCCCTGCCCAGCGGGGAGTCTGCTTCTCCCTCTGACCCTACCCCATCTCATGCTCTCTCTCTCTCAAAAATAAATAAATAAGATCTTTAAAAATATATATATATATTTATGAAAGGAATAATACTAATGATCATTAAGCACTTTGGAGTTTTATTTTTAATATTTTGGTCCTACACAGTATTGCAATATCTCCAGATTATATTGCTAACTGAATGTTCCTTTTCTGCAAGATTTTGATTGCCTTGATTAATGCCATGTGATGATACAGATAATATTAATTAAAATCTTCCTAGAAGTGCTTACCAATAAAATTACTCCCGTTTTCCATGTGGAGAAACTAAGAAGTTTGAACAATATGTCAGAAGTTTCATAAAATTGATAGGTAGACTTTCCAACTGTAGACAATCCGGAAATTACAATGACTACATTTTAACAGGGGCATACTATAAATAATCATATCTTGGAAAGCACACCAGTATAATTATCCTTAGCTAAAATTTAGTTGTCCATTTAATGCCATTCTTGAAAAAAAAAAAAAAGCACTGTCACAATTTTAAATATTTTACCTAGATAGGTGATAATAAATTTAGGGGCACCTGGGTGGCTCTGCCTTTGGCTCAGGTCACAATCCCTGGGGTCCTGGAATTGAGCCCCACATCGGGCTTCCTGCTGAGCAGGAAGCCTGCTCCTCCCTTTTGCCTGTGCTCTCTCACTCTCTCTCACCATCTCTCACTCTCAAATAAAATCTTTATAAAAAAATAAAAGACACTCTTAAAAAAATAAAAATAAAAATTTAAAACTTTTAAATCTAACTTCTAGTGTCCATATTGCTAGAAAAATTTAAGCTTATTAAGAAATTACAGGTAGGGGCACCTGGGTGGCTCAATCGGTTTAAGTGTCTACCTTCAGCTCAGAAGGTAGACATAATTAAACATAATTTCCAAAATCCTTAGGAAACTTAAAAACTTGGATTGATCCTGAGATGGATCCACCATCTCAGGATCCTGGAATCCAGCTCCCAATGGACTACCTGCTTAGTGGGGAGTCAGCTTCTCCCTCTGCCCCTCCCCCCCAACTTGCGCATGTGCGTGTGCTCTCTCTCTCTCTCTCAAATAAATAGTCTTTAAAAAAAAAGAAATTACAGGTAAATAGATTGTCAGCATATAATACTAACTTTTAAACAGCATCTAATATGCTGGATGTTTAAAAGAAATTGAATGGCTTAGGAAAACTTGAGCCAGGTGTAAATAACAGTAACAGTTGGAGACACAGACAGTGATTTGATCTTCCAGAAACAAATTTATTCTAATTGATTGTTATTATTTGCCTTTACAGTACAGAAAGTTGATAACCTTTGACTATTGGTTGTTTAGTTAAAGGATAAATCTTTTTTGATCGCTATATGAAACTTACAAGTTATTTTGTTAGTGGAGAAAAATAAAACCATTGAGATGTTTACTAGTACGTTTATTCTTTCATAATTGGTAAGTAAATCATTGATAGTTTCTCAATTTCATGAAATTTATTTGAAAATGGGGATCTTTTACTTTTGCATAAAAAGTGTTAAGCCAAAAGTTGGTTTAAGCTAGTTTTTAAAACATCTTTTCAGATTTCATTACTCCACAACTACATTTTTAAATAAATTGACCTACAGACTAAATGCTATCTCCAAAGCAGTAGAAACAGCTTTGAAGAAAACCATAATTCTATTTGTATTCACACTGTTAGATTTGAAAGGGAGAATGTCAATACAATTTTCTTAGTAGACAATAATCCATAGGAAATTTTGTTAAAATCAGTGACTATATTTTTAATTTACAACAAGTATGCAATAGTAGTGAAGAGACACTTGGCACCCTTCACCAAAACAGTGAGTACAGAATGCAGGTGTGTGGTAAAGGACAGTAATGAGTAATCTGGGGATTGTGTTTGAGATATCTATGGGACATCCAGGTGAAAATGCAGATAGTGTTTCTTATGTAGTTAAACACACATCTCTAACATGTCCTAGTGATTTTACTCCAAGGTAAAACAGGAGAAACAAAAGCATATATCCAAAAATACTTAACAGTGTTTACAGCAGCCTTATTCATATTAGACAAAATAGGAAACAACCCAAATATCCATCAACATGAGCATAAATTTTTAAATGTATATCCCTTTGCGTTCAACTAAATTGAATCATAATTTCAACTAATGTTTTATAACAGTAATTATGTTTTGTAGTAGTTCAGTTTAAACATAATTTCCAAAATCCTTAGGAAACTTAAAAACTTGGATTGATAGTACATCAATTTAATTAATGAATAATCTTTTGATACCTAAAACATTTTTAAGACTCGGGGCACCTGGGTGGCTCAGTCGGTTAAGCGGCTGCCTTCGGCTCAGGTCATGATCCCAGGGTCCTGGGATCGAGCCCCACGTCAGGCTCCCTGCTCCGTGGAGAGCCTGCTTCTTCCTCTCCCTCTCCCTGCTGTTCAGCCTACTTGTGCTCTCTCTCTCTCTGTCAAATAAATAAAATCCTTAAAAAAAAAAAAAAAACTTAAAAAAAAAAAAAGACTGAATACTGAGCAGTGATTACTACACATGATTTTAAGTTTTGGGTTTTTCCTTTTTTTATATGTTCACAACAAGTGATTATATCTTTAGATCATGTTAAGAAATGTGTTTTTTTCATTCATATGTGGAATTTAAGAAACAAAACAAATGATCATAGGGGAAAAGAGAGACAGAGACAAACCAAGAAACGGACTCAACTACAGAGAACAAAATGATGATTACCAGGGGGGAGGTGG